TTTCTAAAATCCAGCAAGTTCTTTTCCTTCCTTCGCTAATTAGCCTTTATCCCTGACAAATCTGTGAGATGTAAACATGGTGGTTTCCATGGTGTGCTGGGGTTGCTGGTGGGCTCTGTCGCAGCCTTGGCTGGAAGGCGCTTGGCAAGCAGGGCTGGGGTAGTCGAGAGGGAACACTATGAAGACTCTATGATGTGGGGCTGGGGTTGTGGCTCAGCGGTAGCATCCTCGCCTAGTGTGAGTGAGGCAAATAAAAATAAAATTAAGGTATTCTGTCCACCTACAACTAAAAAATAAATATTAAAAAAAATAATCTGGCTGGGGATGTGGCTCAAGCGGTAGCGCGCTCGCCTGGCATGCGTGCGGCCCGGGTTCGATCCTCAGCACCACAAACAAACAAAGATGTTGTGTCTGCTGATAACTAAAAAATAAATATTAAAAATTTCTCTCTCTCTCTCTCTCTCTCTCTCTCTTTAAAAAAAAAAAAAGAATCTATTCTGCAAACAAATTCTGGGTCAGGTACAGGGCACAAGGGTGGACCTGTGAGAGTCCCTTTCTACCTGAGACTTGTGTAGAGCACAGGTCACCAGGGCCTGTGGTAGATGAGATGCACAGCAAGATGTAAGGTGTGCAGGAGCTAAAGGGAGCACCCAAGGGGTTTGGGGCAGATTTACATGGGGGTCTGCATGGGGTCCTGGACCCCTCTGAGATCCAGAGATAAGGACCCTGTCCTCGGAGTGGTGTATGCAAACACAATCTTGTCCTGTCAGGCTCAGCACTTTCTAGAATTTCCAAGGCTGGCCCATGGGTCCCAGGGAAAGAGCCTCTGCTTTGCAAGGTTGCTTGAAACCTTGACTAAATACGTGAGTCAACTTCATCCTGCCCTGCCAAGGATCACTGCCTTTGCCTAGGAGGAAACAGACGCAGGGTGGAACTCGCTCAGAGCCACACGGCTGCAAGTGTGATACCTGGGTTTCAAAGCAGGTGTGTCTTTCCCTTCACAGGACTCCACGCTCCTCTTCAGCTGTGTGGACTCACTGCCAATTCAGAAGAACCTGGGGAGGGGGTGGGGAAGGGCCCAGCAGGAAAACGCTGCCTTGGGGAGCTGGAGGGAGACGGGCAGAGCTCACTGAGCAGGTGAGCTCGGGCCCATCTGAAGCCAAAGCCCACACTGTGGGCACCTGTGGACGGCCAGCAGGTCACTGGCATAGGGAGGCTTCCTGGCCTTTTCCAGCTTCTAGTGGCCAAAGATCTCTGCTCCCCTCCAGTTTCCACCAGGTGCTCCCTCTGCGTTTGTATCTGTGTCTCCTCCTATGGGGACACCAGTCGTGATGGATGAAGCATCTTCTCCACCGCAGCCTGACGGCTCCTTGGCCAACCACATCTGAAGGACCCTGTTTCCAAATAAAATCACGTTCTGAGGTGCTGGGTGTTGGGACTTCCACGTATTATTATGGGGGCAAACAGTTCAACCCATAACACCCTGCAGGGCAATCTAGCCTGCTGCCACCCTCCACAGCCTCTGCACTTCAGTGCCTCCCTGCCCCGGCCCTCGGCACCGGAAGACCTGGCTGAGCTGGGAACTGCGGGGCTCTCACAGCCCCTGCCAGGAGGCCAGGAGACCAAAGCTGGCTCCTGCCATCCGAACCTCCCTCCTTGGGCATTCCTGCGAGGGACAACATGCTGCTAAGGCGTGCAAGCAGCTTAGGGCAGCTGGGTTGTGCTGCCAGCTCCTGGTAATCTCCCACTCAGCAGGAATGTGGTGGGGGCAGGTGGGGGGGCTGCTGGACCCCATGAATGTCGTCTGGGGAAGGCGGGAAGGAGCCTGGCGCCAGCGCTTTTCCCCGCTGGTGGAGAATTCCCCCCTTGACTGGGCTCCGGGGGGTTAGCAGGGAGGAGGGGCCCAGGCTCTGGCCTGTGCTTCCTGACCCACAGTCCCTGGCTAGCTGCGGGAGCTGGGGTGACAGAGGGCGCTAAGCCCTTTCAGCTCCAGGCCAGTTCTGACAGAAAGGGGCCTAAGTGAACTCAGGGCTGGCCCAGAGGGTCCTCGAATCCCTTCCTTGTCCCACCGAGAAGCTCGCTCACTACTTTTGGGTGCCAGCTGCTGTGTTGAGGGGGGCAAAAGGAAAAGGGCCGGACGGGTGTTTCAGGGAGCAGCATTCAGAGGAGGGAGAGTGCAGGACGGGGCCCCTCCAGGGTGCAGAGGCAGGGAGCCCCAAGAGTTGGGTTGTCACTGTGGAAGGCACTATGACGATTCCTCAGAAAGCTGGGAATGGAACCACCATTGGACCCAACTGTCCCACTCCTCGGCTTATGCCCAAAGGACTTGAAATCAGCATACTACAGTGATGCAGCCACGTCAGTGTTTATAGAGGCTCAATTCACAATAGCTAAACTATGGAACCAACCTAGGTGTCTTTCAATAGATGGATGGATAAAGAAAATGTGGTATATATACTCAGTGGAATATTACTCAGCTTTAAAGAAGAATGAAATTATGGCATTTGGCAGTAAATGGATGGAAGTGGATAATATCATGCTAAGCAAAATGAGCCAATCCCCCCGCAAAACCAAAGGTTGAATGTTTTCTCTAATATGCAGATGCTAATTCACAATAAGGGCGGGTGGGGCACTAGAGAGGAATAGAGTTACCTTAGATTAGGTAGAGGGAAGTGAAGGGAGGGGAGGGAATATGGGGATAGGAAGGATAGTAGAATGAAACAAACATTATTACTTTATATGTGACTGCATGATCAATGGGATTCTGCAACATGTACACTCAGGAAAATGAGAAATTATATCCCATCTACGTATATCAAACTGCATAAATGCATTCTACTGTCATGTATAACTGATTAAAACAAATAAAAAAAATAAAATAAAGAGTTGGGTTGTCACCCTCAAGTTCTAAGGGGCCACACTTGCAGCAACAAAGGATACCTGATTGGGCCAGCCATGATGGCACACCCTAGTTATCCCAATGGCTCAGGAGGCTGAGGCAGGAGGATCCGGAGTTCAAAGCTAGCTTCCGCAATTTAGCAAGGCCCTAAGCAACTTAATGAGACCCTGTCTCTAAATAAAATATAAAAAAGGGCTGGGGATGTGGCTCAGGGTGACCATCCCCTCCTGGGTTCAATCCTCAGTATTAAAAAAAAATACTTAATTATCGTAGCAGAGAGCATGGTGGGTGACTACAGCACACCCAAACCCGCCTGGGGATTTGTGTCACCAAATCCTGCACAAAGGTACTATCACCCACTGTGCTGAGGGACAGAGAAGTGATAAGAAATTGCTAGTTGGTGGTGGAGGAGAGATTGGGAGTCGGAACAACCTGTCCCAAAGAAAGCTTTTTTGGCTTTATTCTGCCGATCCCCTCCCAGATAAGGTAGTTGAGAAGTTCTTTGGTTATTGGTTGTTGGCTGGTGAAGGACATGGTTGACAGGTGACAGTGCTTACCCAACCTGGAATAGGAACTGGACTTCAGGTGGCAGCATCTTTCATGGACAGAGAGCGCTTCCACCATGCAGGTATCAGCAGCTTGGGTGAGTGGGGTCAAGGTGAAGGAAGGTGGTGTTCCATCTTTGTGAGGGGTCCTCTGCTCTTAGGGTGGCAGTGTAGACATGGAGGCAGTGGGGTACAGGGTGGATGAAAGTCTTTAGCCACGGTTCCCTAGAGGGGCTCCCAGTCTTGGGTCAGGGTCAAGGGTCACAAGTGCTAGCCTGGATCCCCTGTGAAGATGAGAGCCTCCATATTCCTGGACAGTTCAGGATGCACTGTGAGGAGGGAAGCATGGAGTGGTGACCATCCCCAGGGAGAAGCGGACTACAACTAGGGGTGTTCATGTCTAGGCTCCCTAGGAGTCACTCCTTGGAGGGTGGCAGGAGGTGCTGGAACTTGGGAGCGTGGACACTGCTCACAAGAGACCCTCACATCTGTGGCCTACAATTGATAATGTGGCGGGGATGGCTATCTGCTCTCCAAACTGGTCTCTTCTTCCTTCTGTTTAGCCATACTCTATTCCCAGCTCCTTTGCAGTGACATGTGGTCACGGGACTGAGTTCAGCCCAGGAAATGTGACTGTTTTCCCAGGCCCTTCCCAAACCATAAAAACCATCCCACAGACATGGTCCTCCAGGCTCTTTGTTTTTGATTGCTGGTTGTCAACATCTAAGATGGTCTCAGAAGCAAGGCATTGAAGACAACAGAGCCTGGGGATTCGAAGAACTGTGTGTCACAGAGCTAAACTCGTACTGGTGGGACTAAAGCTACCTGGTTATGTGAATGGAAATTAGATTTGACTGTTTTGTGCCACTGTTTTTTTTTTTTTTTTTTGGTGTGTGTGTGTGGGGCTTATTACAGAGTTAACCTACCCTGTCCAATATGGACAGCCGTGAAGGTTCTAGGCCACAGGATCCCGTAGCTTCCATTTCTAGATATTCCGTATCTGTTCAGCACTTTTGGTTCCCCAGACTGTATCAGCTGTGGAACTTGAACTCTCACCAGACACCAGCTAAGTCAGTTTCTTTGGATGATTAACTTATGGTGATCTGATGTGCCAAGGTGGAGAGCCAGGCTACTGTAAAGTGGTCTGAGTGCCCTTGAAGGGACCACGATTGTTCCTATCAGTGCTCTTGTCACTGGAAGAATTCCTGGAGAGGGAAGATTTGACTCAGGACAAGTGGGGTCCTTGGCATATGTGATGGGAAAGAATTTCGGCATACACCAGAGACGGATTTATTTAAGAAAGCAGATACATATTCAAGGGAGAATGTGAGCCATCTTGAGAGTGAGAAACAGCAACCTCTTGGTCTGGCATGTTAATATTTACAGGGACAGTAGCTAGGACTGGGCCTGGTGGCACAGACCTGTAATCCCAGCTACGCAGGACTGAGGCAGGAGGATTGCAAGTTTGAGGCCAGCCTTAGCAAATAAGTGAGACCCTAAGCAACTTAGTAAGACCCTGTCTCAAAATAAAAGTAAAAAAAATGTAAAAAAAAAAAAAAAAGCATAGTTACCTGGCTCAGTGATAGAGTGGCTGAGCATTCAATCCCCCAGGACAAGAATAAATAAGAAAATTTAGGGGGACAGTATGAGGGGCTGGAACAACTAGAAGTGGAGTCAGGGTAGAGTCAGTTTCCTTGCCTTTGCGCCATGGTACCTTTTGCAGGCAAGGACAGGGGCCAAGAAGGAGGGCCAAGGACATGGGACAAGTTGTTTCTTTTGCATTCCAACAGGCACCTCTCTTTTGAGACTCAGTCTTTTTTTTTTTTTCCTGCATCCCCAAACTCACATCTCAGTCTCAACTAGGACCAGCCGTCAGGTCCCACAGAACTGGTATAGAAGCACAGGGAGCCTGATGTCCCGACCAAAGCACAGAAGGTGTCACCTTAGGGGAAGTGGCTCAGAGAACAAGGCAGGAAGCAGAAACAGGTTTCTTAGTTCCTGGCAGCCTATGGCGGCCACTAGACCTTTCTCCTTCCCAGGGGGGGCTGGTTGTTCCAGTAACGGAGAGCACAATGGTGATGGGCTTTCTCTTGACTCCAGTGAACCCTTTGGACAGAAAGTCAACTTGATCTACTTGAAACAAAGCAGGCCTCCCCCCACCCACTGCCACCCCTGCCCCACCCTGGAAGGGCAGTAAGGAAAGTCCCAGAGAATGGTAGCAACCAGGGTGTCCCTGAAGACCCCAGAAGCCAGAGCCAGGGACCCAACCCCATGTGGCCTTGCAAGATGTCAGCAGCTCCATGTCCTCCCAGTGCCACCGCCCGAGGAAGGGTCTGAGGAAGGGTCCGAAGGATCTGGCCAGGTAATGGCCCTAGACAGGAGAGGGAGGGGTTCAGTCCAAGTCGAAGCCTTACCCACACCAGGGGCAGGGTCTGAGTGGAAGAAATAGCTTTGCTTTCTTCAACATTCAGGAGCAGCCAGAGGTAACTTCATTTTAAGACCGGCATCCACAGAAAAGAACAGCAGGCAGAAGTGTTTTTCTCCAGCTCTCTCTGAGCATGTGAAACAAAGGAACCGGATTTAGATGGTACAAAAACAAAGAAGGGAAAGAATCCAGTGAGTTCCACAAGCTTATTTATGGCCTAAGAGATAGACCAGGGTGCGATAGGCTATATTTCTGCATCCTGTCCTTGCTGTGTTTTGTGATTTCATTCAGTTATCTAACTTGTGCTTTTCAACCTGGAGAGTTCTAACGATGATGATGGTCATGATACTGACTAATATAGTTTCTTGCTTCTAATTTTCAGGCCCCATTCTCTTCCTTTAATTTAAGAGATGGGGTCTTGCTATGTTGCCCAGGCTCGTCTCCAACTTCTGGACTCAAAAGATCCTCCTGGCCAGGTGTGGTGGCGCACCCCTGTCATCCCAGGGACTTGGGAGTCTGAGGCAGGGGGATCGCAAGTTCAAAGCCAGCCTTAGCAAGACCCTATCTAAAAATAAAAATAAAAAGGGCTGGGGATGCGGCTAAGTGGTTAACCTAGGGGTTAAGTACCCCTGGGTTCAATCCCCAGTGCCCAGGGGGGTGGGGAGGGGAGATCTTCCTGACTCTGCCTCCCAAGTGCTGAGACTACAGTCAAATCCACACTTGGCTCCCAGGCACAGTTCCCCCCTCAACCCTATTCTCAGTTCTGTACTGACTGGTGGCTCTACCACTGAGCTCCATTCCTGTAACAAGGACTTAGACTCTTCCCTTTTGGCTGCAAATGTCTGACAGGTGGCTGAAAGCAGGATTAAAGACTTGGCATCTCTGCCTCCATTTCGCATTCATCTTCTTTGCTCCCAGGCACCTTGGAGTCCCTGAACAAGGACTGATCTGATCAACATCTTGTGATGAGTCAAAGCTACACCCCAGGCAAGAGCAACTTTCTTATTTGGAACAGAGCCCCAACCAGCCAATCCTGAGATGATGGACAGACCACGTCGCATCTGTGAAAGCCCCCCATCCTTGCCCTCATTCCCCTTTCTTTGAGACTTCAAAGTCACTGTCAGCCCCTCAAAGACAGCGAGGAACCTGGGTCCTCTTGTCTTCCTGGTGCAGCTACGTTGACTATAGCACCTCTAGTGCTTTTCAGCATTACCTTTTCTGTTTGGTTTTGGGGTGAGTGTCCGACCTGATTTGTTGGATCCCTAGAGTCAGGTCTCTAACCTGGGAATCTGATAACATCCCCAGCCCTTGAACTTGCCATCCTCCTGCTTTCCTGCTTCATCCTGATGCATTGCTGAATTATACAGGGATGTGCTACCACACCCCAGCTGCAGGCAGAATCTTTTAATTTTTCCATATTGAAACCCAGGGGCTCTTAACCACTGAGCCACATCCCCAGCCCTTTTTATTTTTTATTTTGAGACAGTGTCTGGCTAAGTTGCTGAGGCTGTCCTTGAACTTGCCATCCTCCTGTCAAGCACAATTCTTAAGTAATGTGTTTCTTTTCTATTTCTTTCTTTCTTTCTTTCCTTCTTCCTTCCTTCCTTTCTTTTTTTTTTTTTTTAGGATTTTGAACCTAGGGCCTTGTGCATACGAGGCAAGCACTCTACCAACTGAGCTATACCCCCAGCCCTGGTAATGTGTGTTTCTAAAGTCTTCAAAATATTTATATTGAGTAAGTGTGATAAATAAAAAGTGCAGTGGCCCATTTTCAAATACAGTATTTAGCTTTAAATATAAAATTGCTGTGGATATGAAAATAGCCAAAGGGGAAAGGGGACCATGGTTAGAAGCAGCTCACACCTGAATGTAACAGTCTCAGCCCCTTCCCAAACAGGAGGTGAGGGGAAGGAGGCTGATCTGACCAGCAAAGATAAACCACATACGTGCACTTACCCCAAGAGATCACAGAGAAGTGGAGACCCCATAGGAGAGAGTCAAACCTAGGCAACATCCAGAAAGACTGTACACCAGCAGTCCTCAGCCAGGGAGAACGGAGGAGGCACCCTGCACATAAGGGAATAAAATGCTGCTTGCAACTGCTCTGGAGGTGTTGCCGAAAGCTCTGTCCCCATGCCAATCTAATAACCAGGACACAGTTTTGAGAAAAAAGAAATAAATGATTTATTGCTTTGCTAGCAAAGGAGAAACACAGGGGACTTCTGTCCCAAAGGTTGTGATTTTGCCTATCAGCAGGAACAGGGGGCTTTTAAACAGGTGACTCAGAGAAAATGAGATTAGTGAGGAGAGATCAGGAAGGAGAAGATCAAGGAAAAGAAGATTAGGAAGGAGGTTAGAGAAAAGAAGATCAGGGAGAAGGTTGGGGGGAAAACTTAAGTTTCAAAGCAACAAGGGATACAGTCCAAGCATCAAGTGAAGCCCTGTTACATTTCCCCACTGTCAGTTTCTAGCTTCCATTTCTATGGACAGTGGATGATGACATATCCAAGCTACTTCCTGCTGAAAGGGGACAAAGTTGGGGGAAGTAACCCAAAGTCCTTGTTCTCCATCACGTGGGGCATGAACAGTTAAGGGCATTCAGCATCAGAGCAGTCCAAAGGTGCATAGTGGCAGATGACAGATGACTGGATAAGGGATAAGGACCTGTGTAGTTCAGGGATCATGCTAATACAACAATAAAGATCAAAGTATTAAATCTTTGTAAATAATTAGAAAAAAAAATAGAATTTCAGCCAGTTTCTGAAAACCACGAGGATAGCAACTCATAATCCTATCAGTGAAAATCAGATCAAGTTCATCAATATAGGAGGTTAGGAAGATTTGTAAGTCTATGAAATCAGACTCAAATTAACTCAGGACAAATTTGGAACTCTTGTGATCATTACTATTATTCACTCTCACACAAGAACCCATCCTTTATAGCCTCCAGCTTTACTTACTTTTGGTAGAGCTGACACAAGTGTTCATCTTAAGTTACATCTTTAAAACCCATTGTTTTTTCTTTTAAATGTCCGGGTAGGATGGTGCTTTTAGGCTATACTCTTTTGCCAGGTATTTAAGACCAAGTTGGTCAGAACTGAACTTGTTCCTATCTATTCTTAAGAGTCAGCTGGGATTCCTTAGAGATCATTCTTGGGGACACATGTGAAGCCTCCTGACTCCTTTAGCTTTTCTCTACCAGTGAGGCCACTTACCAGGATGGGTTGGGATCTGGCTGATAAAATATGGCTTCTCTTGGAAGCCTCAGGGACATTTGCATCTCCAATGATCTTCCTCTTTGCAAAATGTGCACTGGTTGGCTTCCTGTTCTCTTGGGTCCTCTTGATCTCCCTGATCAGCAGATTGGGTGACTCACCAGAGTTGCAGGGCCCAGAAAGGGCTCCTGTCATTCTCCATGTCCTGGCTAACCTTAGAGGGCAAGGGCCAAAATGTTGGCTGCTTTTTCCTTGGTTCTTTTACTTCCTTGACTTTGGTCTCCAAGTTTTTGGTTTTAAACACCCAGCAGGCCAGTTTAATCAGGCTTAAAGAGGGAGTAACACATTGTAACTTCAATATCTATAATTTTACAATTACCCCTTTCATTTAATTGGGGTCTGAATTAGTACTGGGAGCCAGCATTATATAGTATCTGTCCTGTAGGTGATAGCTTATTATCTCAAATTAACCCAGGTTGGTTTTGTTTTGTTTTTAGAAGCAGTACCTCTGCAAAACACTAACAGGCAACAGTTATAAAATTACAAGGAAAATACAAAATGAAATTACATTCAGCTTGTGTAATAGCTATGAACAAAGAAAAATCTTGAAACTGTACTTAATTATACATTATTTCTCCCATTTGAGATCACAGTAATCTTTACAATAAAAAATCAATCTTTTGAACACAACTTTGAATAGGCTCCAGCCTGTTTCAGAGCCATTTTACCATGAGGTGAGGTGGGAGGCAGAGTCTTATCTCGGGGAAGGTGGGGCTCTTCACAATCAACACAATACAACATTACACCTGAAACTTGAATCAAAGACAGGCTAAGAGAGATTTTTAACTTTCTTTTTGTGGAAACAGTGGCAAAATGCTTCCTTGTTTAATATGACACCTTTAAACAGATCAGGATCTCCTTATTATCTTCCAAAAATACATTTAAATTCCAATTCCAGTGTGAAGAGAAACACAAAATTGTATATGTAACTTATTGACAACAGGTTACTTTATCCAGCTATAAAACAACAAATACATGAATAAATACCAACTAGATTTGTCATTTTTATACAAATCCAAGATGTTTGCTGCACATAATTTTAGTTCGGATAACACCAACTTGGCAAAATGCTCTCTTCAGTTTTACATTTAACTAAGTTGAGTTTTTAAAGTACAATTTAGAATCCAGAGTGTACGGTAATAATGGGTTAACAAAAATCAAAGGATAGCCTTAAATCTCTTATACATTTAGGAAACAGTGTTAATCATCAAAAATTGACTTAGTCACAGCAATCAGATATAAGACAGGTCTTTAAATGACAGTGTGGCCCTTCTATTTCAGATACACTGTATAAAAGAGAGCACTTATTGGTTATCTTGCCAGTAAACTTACATAAACTTTCATTTTATAAACTTTTACATAATATTTAGGCAAGGCTTAGACAGATAGTTCTCAGATGCATACATATACCTACTCAGACACATTTTGGATTTCAACTATATTGTTAAAAACCTAAATTACTGTGGTTCAATCAGTTACAAAATAATCACATGACTTTAAAACAGGTACAAATCAATTCCTTTTTCTCTTTTTTAGTTGTAGATGAACACAACACCTTTATTTAATTAATTTATTTATTTGATTCTGAGGATCGAACCCAGCACCTTACACATGCTAGGCACTTGCTCTACCGTCAAGCCACAACCCAGCCCCAAACAATTTCTTTAAGACAGTTTCCCCAAGTAATAAAGCCTGATAAATACAAGAAAATTATCCATAGATAAGAGCAGATCAATGTTTCAGACTTTGCTTTATAGCAGTACAGTAAAATTCAAATAACTTTAACTGACTGTTCTAATTATGGCCAATTTAATCAAACACAAATGTTTTGAGATTTACCTTCCACAACCCTTCTGCAACTTGCTTAAACATTCACAACTCCTTTACGTCCTCAGTTATGTCTTCTTTCATCTTGGACTTTAGCACAAGAATATTACTTTACCAGACAAAATACTTTCTCATCCAGAAACATTTCTTTTACCTTGTAATTTTCTGTACTAAAATATATTTCCTTATGAATGGAAATGCACTCCACTGTTGTCATCTATGTAATAAATAAATTTTTAAAAAATAAATAAATAAATAAAATATATTTCCATACCTATAACTTTCTTTTATCTTTTCTAGTTTCAGAACCTTTCTTAAATTTACATTCTGAAACAGACCTTAGGAATGTTATCTGTGTGTTTAATTTACACAACAAATTTCATCCCAGGAGAGGGTTGGACAATCTAGCTTATACAAAACAAATAAACAAACAAACAAAAAAAGTGTGCCTTAATCTTTTTTCTCCCAGGTTGCATTCAAGGGATTGGCACACAGGATTTTTTTTTTTTTTTTTTTGAGTCTGACCTGTCTCCATTATCATTATCACAATGCCATCAACTTAAGTGCGTTCCCCATTGTCAACTGTACCCAGAGGCTCCTTTGGGGCCTTTTCTTATACTAGGCATATTGATGTGTAATGGAGGAGGCTCTTTCCACCCTTTTCTTTAGGCTTCCTTGAAGAGCCCTTTGCAGAGGCTGCCTACAAAACACAGGTTGGCCCTAGGTTTCTGTCTCTTTCTTCTCTGGGTGCAGTTATTTATTCGGCCAGTCTCCCTAGGCATTTAGTTTGATGGGAAACTATTATAGCAAAATTGCTTTGCACCAGTGATGATTATTCCCTGGCCAAATGGGGTCTCCTGTCAGATCTTAAAAGGGGAGACTATTCCTGTCCCCAGGTCATAAACGGACAGTGCTGGATCCTACTGCCACATCCTTTGTGGCCAGCAGGCTCCACCCCCCGGAGGTCAAAGGGGTTGGAAAACAGGGCAGAGGCCAGGTTTTCTTTAGCCATTTTTCTACATCCCAGGAAGCTTTTCTAGGATTTTTTTTTTTTCCCAATTTAGGGCTGGTGTCCTGGACCACAGTGAGATGATCTGTGGCTGCCTGGGGCCAAGCTGAGAAATGGTGCTGGGAGCGCCAGCACTGGGTTGAAGAGATTTAAATCTTTAGACCCCTTTCTTCTGGTGTCCTGCTATCCTTGCACACCATAGGCAGTGCCTTTGGGCACCTTCAGCTTAGCTCCTGACATCAGACCCCTTATCACGCAACTGCATAAATACCTGTACACACAGACTCTCCTCCATATACTTGACCCCTGACACACCAACTTCAATTTCAAGATTGTGCACTGTGATCCAGAAATACCATTTAAAGGCTAGACTGTGTTACAGCAAACCCTCTTTCTCTTAGGCTTATACCTATAGGTGGCCCACAGGCAAGATCTCTCTACTCAGGAGACTCCGGGGAAGATCAATGCAGCCTGGCTCATTTCTTAAAGGGCCAGTAAAGACAAGAGAGGATCATTGAAACCAGAACTGACAGACGCCAGTCTTTAAAAGGGACAGACCTGCATGTACGAATTTCTTCTGCTTCCTTTACCTTTGACAGACCAATTCCAACTGCAAGATTGTACAAAAAGAAACACAGAGAGACCACCAGAGGGTAGCCCCAAACCCATGGCCAACAGACCTGAACCTTTAAAATTAACCAACTAAGATCTTTCCCAAGAGACTACCCATAGAATCAATTCAGCACTGGAGCCGCCTTAAAAGGGGCAGTAGCAGATACAATGTAGCAGACAACCTGAGGGGATTCCCAAACCATGGCCAACAGAGGGGAACTTTAAAATTAGAGACAGACTAGAGAGGGGAAAACCCCAAGCGGCCAACTCCTGCTGAACCGTGACTTTTACACCAGCAGCACCACAGATGTCCCCAAGAAGAGGGACCAGATGTTCCCACAAAGGGGAACCAGATGTGTATACCAGGGGAGCTTACCCAATGGCCAAAGCTGTCATATCTTTCCTGAGTTCAGTTTCCTTTTTCTCAAAATGGAGAAATTGAGAGCAACGAGAAAGTGGGAGTTCCCAAAGCAAAAAGAGCTTCCT